ATTGAAATGACTTATAATTTAGAATGGAGTGAGTATTATTTATTAAACATAATGTATATCTCTAACTATCTAAGAGTATAGTAAAAGCTACGTACCAACATAAGCCAAAGTGTCATTTAATTTGGAATGGAGGGAATATATAGGTGTGGTTGGAACTCACTTGGCGCCTGGTGGACAACGGAGGCAGCGCCGGCGAAGTCGCAGGTGCCGCTGGCCCGGCCATTGCTCTGGTAGTAGCTGTTGAAGGCATGCGAGGCGTGCGCGGCCTTGGTGTTGGGTTCGAAGCACGTGGCACTGGGCTGGATGGCGCTGCAGTCCGCGCCGTGGCCGCACGCGTAGTCCAGCGCCGCCTGCAACCGCGCGTCACCGACGGCAGCGTTTGCAACGCACCAGCTCGACTTGGCGTCGCAGGCGCCTATATGTATCTCTCGGTGAAGCCGCCATGGACGAAACACCGAACGAGGAACCAGAACTACGTGACATCATGTGCAAAGATGTGGCACTTACCGGCTGGTTCCTGGTAGACAACGGAAGCAGCGCCGGCGAAGTCGCACGTCCCGCTTGCCCGACCCTTGCGCTGGTAGTAGTCGTTGAACGCGTACGAGGCGTGGGCGGCCTTGGTGTCCGGCTGGAAGCACGTCCCGCCGGGCTGGATGGCGCCGCAGTCGGCACCGTGGCCGCACGCGTAGTCCAGCGCCGCCTGCAACCGCGCGTCCCCGACGGCCGCGTTTGCAACGCACCAGCTCGACTTGGCGTCGCAGGCGCCTATATGTATCTCTCGGTGAAGCCGCCATGGACGAAACACCGAACGAGGAACCAGAACTACGTGACATCATGTGCAAAGATGTGGCACTTACCGGCTGGTTCCTGGTAGACAACGGAAGCAGCGCCGGCGAAGTCGCACGTCCCGCTTGCCCGACCCTTGCGCTGGTAGTAGTCGTTGAACGCGTACGAGGCGTGGGCGGCCTTGGTGTCCGGCTGGAAGCACGTCCCGCCGGGCTGGATGGCGCCGCAGTCGGCACCGTGGCCGCACGCGTAGTCCAGCGCCGCCTGCAGCCGTGAGTCCCCAACGGCCGCGTTCGCCACGCACCAGCTCGCCTTCGCGCCGCCACCGCCGCCGCCGCCACCACCGTGGTGGAAGTCGAATTCGTATACCTTCTGCTCGTTCGGGTAGAACAGCCCGAAGTTCTGCTCGATGTCGTCCAGCCCGTCACCTTTCTGGTTCTCATTGAAAAGCGCGAAGATGTAGACGTCCATGTCCGCGTCGGGCCGGTGCGGGGTGCCCGTGTTGCCGGACAGCACGCGGTTGATGACGTTGTTGACGTACGCATGGGCATTGGCTACCGAGGCAACGGGTACCCGTCGTCCCCGGCCATCAAATGCCTCCGGCCTCCGCGTGGGGCCTCCGGCCGGGTTTGGGTCTTCCGCCCGACGGATGCCCAGTCTCCCCAACTTGTGCTTTCAAACTGGTAAACCCCAGGTCATCCATGGCATAGTACGTGGCGTCGAGCTGGGCGTCTAGGAGGCTGTAGTACGTGACGCCGCAGCCGTCGTCGTCGTCGAGCGTGAGGCCGGCCGTGTCGTCGTCGTCGACGCGCACGCCGGGGTTCGAGTTCCCCAGGGCGTAGTCGAGGGAGATTTGGTCGGGATGCTCGGCGTACGCCAAGTACGGGTAGATATTGATGGTGAGGTAGGAGCCCGTCCTCTGCAGGAAGCCGAGCATGGGCTTCATCACGCTCTGCGCGACGTCGTCCCGGAACCTGCCCGCGGACGGCGGGTACGAGTCCGTGACCGCCGAGAAGGCGACCGGCGTGGACACCTTCACGGCGTCGGCCAGGCCCAGCTGTGCCAGCGCGTCGTGCACGTTGGCCATGGCCCGGACGAGGTCCGCGTTCAGGTCCGGCCTCGAGTCGAACACCTCGTTGCCCACGGCGACGCCGTGGATGCGCGTGGCCGGGTGGTACGCCGCCACGTTGCTCCGCGCCCACCGGAGCGCGTAGGACGGGTCGGAGGCCGCGGCGGCCAGCTCCTCGTTGGGCAGCATCACCAGCACCTTGATGCCCGTGTTGGCCAGCGACGTCAGCACCTTGGCGTTGGCGTCGTACAGCCTCACCATGGTGATGCCGTTCTGCTTGAGCAGCTGCACCACCGACGCCGGGTCCGGCAGGTCGTTGGCCACCCTCCCGTAGTTCACGCCCACCTCGCCGCCGGCTTCTGCTGCACCGAGGAGGAGGAGTAGCGGCAATGCCGCACCGAGGAAGTGAGCGAGCGCCATGATAGGCTCCGCTGCTGTGGCGCGGGGCACTGGGCAGCAGCCGATTGATTGGGCTGAGCAGGACGAGGCTAGCTGCTGAGTTCTGATCAGTATGTGACGACGATGATACATGAACCAAAGGTTGGGTGGGTGGGAATTTATAGGCAAGGTCTAGGCGCTGCATGCGATGCACAGTGGTGGGTCCCGCCGGCGGCGGCGAGCAACATGCAAGTGATGGCTAACTTTTGCGTTTAGCACGGGCAAAGGTGCACGATGCAGTAGCATATCTGTAGTGGTGGATAACAAATTGAACCCTGCCCAACCCACTTTCGCGTGAGTGATCCCCGTCCTGTCCAGCCCACTTCGGCTTCGGCCTGGATCGTGGCCCCCTATATATATATATATATATATATATATATATATATATATATATATATATATATATATATATATATATATATATATATATATATATATATATATATATATATATATCTCCCGCACCTGCAGGCCGGCCCGTCACTTTGTGCAGCTTAAAAAACGAGAGAAATACTGAAGGCAACCAGGCTACATTGCCGCCATCGTATCACCTCATGTGCAATAAACATTTGACAGGCGTGCTTGACCAAGGAGTGATGAAATTTAGGTTTACAAATACGTCTTAGATTCGTAGATGTATTTTCTTAGGCGATTTTATCTTTCTCTAAGATATAATATCTTTCTTCCTCTAGCGCCATCCACTAACGCACTAACAAGGAAGATCATGTGTAGGGATGAAAACCGTCATGTATAATGTATAATTTAGGGAACCCCCCCACTTTCATTGTCACAATTTTAATTGGAATCAGAATTTAAACCACGAAAAGCGGTTGGGAAATGATACCAGGGTCTGTCCGAATGTTGAAAAAAAGGAGTATTCGACCATTAACATGTCGATAATGATAACATTAGGAAAGAAATGCATGTCTGCCACACACCACAAAGTCGAGGGACTGACAGTAATACAAGGAGTATTTTCAGAAATTGACATTTTCTATTAAGTCATGTATTTTCTAGAACTTGAACCCACAACCTCTAATCTTACATATTCACTCTCCATTACCACACACTAACTTATGATTTTGAATAGGATGTTATCTTTCTCTATTAACTTTTTGGGAATTTTGTATTAAATATTTGGACTCATAAATGATTTTAAAATAAAAAAGTTTCATCTACAAAGTTTTAGATCTCGTTGAGTTCTACAATTTTGGTATAGAGTGTGTCTCCATCAGAGATAGTTTAGAAACTTCGAGTATGAAAATCTAACAATTTTTAAAATGAATATTTGAGACTAAATATTTTTAAATAAAAACTTGTCAACTACAAAGTCATAGATTGCATTGACAACTACATGTATAGCTCATGTCAACGTACAAAGTCATTTGAAAATTTTAATGTTTGAATTTCAAAATCTTAGAATATAAAACAGATATTTAAGAATCTATAAATGACTTCAAATCAAAAACTTGTTAACTACATAGTTATATATTATATTGAGAAGTACAACTTTGGTATGGACCTAGACCATATTGAGAAGTACAACTTTGATATGGACCATATCAACATCTAAGGTTGTTTCAAAATTCTCAAATTTAAAGCGATCTCCTTATGTCTGTTTTTGTAAATGATTAACCGAGGCGGCCATTTGTAGACCTGCCTAAACATTTGTAAGAGACGGCTCCTAAAAATGCCCACCTCTATTAATTAGAAAGTCTGTCTTCTGACATCCTTTTTTATAGCGAAAGAAGGGGAAACTCTTGATGTACTAGGTGTTAACGGTGCATTGCTATGAATATTCGTGATGTTGTTAATAGTTTATTCTAGTTTGTGTTACCGGGCTTGAATGAGAAGCATATATATAGTTAAAATGCAATGGTTAGTCCTAGCATTTGATTCTTCAACACCCCCACACTCTCTAGTTCGTTCACTATCATTTAGTACTGCAGTTCCGAGAAAAATAAATGTCAAAATTCACATTCTCAATGGTACATGTGCACTCCACATTTATGGTATTAGTATGTGTCATCAGCTTATCTAGGATATGGATCAGTGAGTGTGACCTCGTTCACTGTGATACCTTCTTGGAAGATCACATCAGACCGGTCATAACCACAAAAGTGTTGCTGCTCATACGGCTGAGAAACAACAGGTGAGGCTCTCCCAAAGAAGAACGCAGGCTGTGCCGGTGCCTGGAGCTCCATGCTGTCCCTTGTCAACATGGAAACGACGGATGAAATATCAGGCCTGTCGTCAGGATCAGACTGGACGCAGAGCAGCCCAATTTGGATGCATCTTAGCGCTTGGGTTCGAGAGAATCCATCGAGGGTTTGGTCCACTAACTGCGATGCCATCCCTTGTATCCAGCATTTCCATACCTGCAAAAAGATGTTGGCCACCGGTTCGCGGTTTGTCAGTTGAAACTTCAGTTCATGATGTGGATTTCTGCAGTGCAAAATGAGGGTTACATACATCGCTCAGGAGATTCACGGTATCGCAGTCATTAAAACTGGTGTTCCTTCTCCGAGTTACAATTTCAAGCACTAGCACACCAAAGCTGAAAATGTCGATTTTTGGTGATACAATTCCATGTATTGCGTACTCTGGAGCCATATAACCACTGCAGGTACGCGATGATCAGTTAGGCGCATTTGATACCTTCAATATATATTTGAAAGTTTAATACTTGAATGATCAGAGAGAGTACTATGTTCCAGCAACCGTAGCTGTTTTGGTCTGCGTATGGTCTCCCTGCAGTCTTGCTAGTCCGAAGTCTGAAATCTTTGGATCCGCATTCTCATCAAGCAGGATGTTGTTGGCTTTCAGGTCTCGATGAATGATCCTAATTCTTGAATCCTCATGAAGGTACATTATTCCCTTGGCAATGCCAACAATGATGTTGTCCCACTGATCCCAAGTTAGCTTATTTCCCGTTTCAGTGTCTTCTGGACGAAATGATAAGTCATTAGACGGTTTTGCAAGACAGAACTAGATGATGCACAGCAGTTTGCAGTATGGTCTCCCAGCAGTTTTATTTGCTAGCCTTACATATGGACCAGAGGTAATTTGTTTGCAGGAAGTACAACAGTGAATAAGTCTATCACTGAACATGGTGCCCCAAATGTGAATGATTTATATTATCAGACCTTTGGAACATTGGCATGTGTTGTTTTTAACCACCATCCTACAGTGCTGAGTTTTATGCACAGCTGAAAAAAATATATAAAGGTGCCAATGAAGTAGAGAAGATACCAAACAGAAAGTTGTCGAGGCTTCCGTTCTTGATGTATTCATAAACAAGCATCTTCTCATTCTGATGCACGCAAAACCCGTGTAACCTGACAAGGTTCCTATGCTGAAGCGTTGCCAATACCTGCAATTCATTATGTAGCTGCAGCAGTCCATGTCCAGTAGCACTGTCTAAAAGTTTCTTTACTGCTACTTCTTGCCCGTCTGGGAGCTTCCCCTGGCACAGATTCTTTCATCAGAATTTGACAAGAGAGCAATACTTGCAGTTCATTCATACAAGTCTTTATTCCCAAAACTAGGGATAAAAAGATATATATGCAACCTTGTATACAATACCGAAACCACCTTCGCCGATCTTAAGGTCCTCTGAGAAGTTTTCAGTTGCTTCTTGCAGTGTAAAAAAGTCAAAGACGGTGCACTTCGCTCTGCCAATTTTCTCCAACGCTGTTGTGTGTTGTATTAGCACATAGAATATATATAAGACATGTCAATGTACGGAAGAATGGAACATTCCAGTTCTTGAACAGACAGTAGTTATGCTACTACTCACAGCGACTGCGACCATTCTTTTTGGCAATCTTTCTCCTGAAGCGAACCAGAGCGACAGCTGAAAATATCACTACCAACACGACGAAACAAGCGACCCCGGCGGCGATTCCTGCTGCTCTCCTCCTCCCTGCATGCACTAATGGAGAATTGGAGACCCGTGAAAAAAGAAAACTAACTTGAGGCAGTAGTAGAATATCAGCAATTCTCACAGAACTCAGAGAGATTTTCCTGCAGGAGGAAAACAAGCCATGGCGGGAAGCTACCTGCTCCGGTCTTTGGAGTAACAACTGAGGGCACAGCCGTGGGTGCTGGCGCCGGCGCCGGAGCCGGAGCAGGGAGGTGCAGCATCGCAGGGCCCGTGTAGAAAGGACTCACGCTGTACCTCAAGTTACACCACACACCAAGAGATCTCCCCGCGGGCTTCCCGTCCAGGAACCCCGGCATCGACGCGACGAGACTCCCGAGGCAGCCTCGGCACTGCACCGCCGTCATGTCGGGCACGCACTGCGCCAGCCCGTAGATTTTCGGGTACTGCTCCGCGTCGAAGTCCTCCACGCCCGTCGCGAAATACTGCCTGGCGGAGGAGTTATTGCTTGCCGCGGTCACACTCACAGCGCGGTCGACCGTGGCGTTCATAAGCGCCGCGACGGCGGCGTCAAACCAGGCCGCGGGAACCGTGAGGTTGTCCGAGTCCCACGACGACACGGCATAGGGCGAGTTCACGCCGGGGAAGTCTAGGAACCGCTGGTCTGAGAAGCCAACGATGCAGGCGTCCTGGTAGACGGTGACGTCCTTGCTGTTGGGGCAGGCCTGCTGTGCGCCGGGAACGCGTCGGCGACGCACGCGCGGCAGGTTGGTGCGCCCGTGTCGCCGCGGCACAGCGCCAGCGCGGAGATCTGGTTAGGAAGCGCACCAACGGTGCCCACGGCGAAGCCGGCCGGCGTGGCCGAGGCGTTGGCGGGGAGCGCCGCGGCAACGAGCTGGAGGTTGGCTTGGTAGGTGCCGTTGGCCACGTAGGTGCCGCCTGCACATGTCGAGGACCGGTACGGTTGGGCTGCGGTGAGCGGCAGGACGACGAGGACTACGGCGGCAACGGCGACAATAGATAGCCGTTCGTTTGGTCTAATTCGACTTATAAGCCATGGCTTATCGGTTAATGAACGATATTTTTCTTTCACACTAAATCAGCCAACAGTACTTTCAGCCATGACTTATAAGTCAAATAAACCCAAACGAACAGGATAAGAGTAGGTACCAACCATGTTAGCCGCAGAAATGATACTCTTGAGCTGCCTGGAACCGGAGCTTGTGTGGATTATCTTGTTTTAACGACGAGGAAAATTCACCGCCGGTCCTCAACTTGGCCGTAAAATTATATCTGTGGGTCTCTGAATTTGACAAATGGTGTCATCCAGGTCCCTAAACTTTTAAGGTGATCATCGTGGGTTCCTAAACTTGGCTGATGGTGTCATCTCCGTCCCTGAACTTTCAAAGTGATCACCGCAGGCCCCTAAACTTGACAAAAGGTGTCATTCCTATCCAAATATAATAATATTAAAAGTTACCTATAGTATTCAAAGTTTTCTCTATTAAAAGTTACTTTTAATTTTAATATTATTTTAAAAGTTTTAATAGTAGTATTATAGAAGTAACTTTTGTCCGTTATTAATACTATAACATTATTATTAAAACTTTTAATACTATAATACTACTATTAGAAGAAATAGTATATAGTATTATAGAGAAAAGTTACTTCTATAATATTACTATTAAAACTTTTAAATGATACTAAAATTAGAAGTAACTTTTAATAGAGAAAACTTTTAATACTATAGGAATTTTAATATTATTTTAATACTATTAATGATACATAAATACTAAATTAATTTTAGTATTTTCTATTTTAGTTTAAACCTAATATATTTATTGTTGTAAATTATTTTAATACTTTAATTTTTTTGCTGGTGCAAATTATTTAATATAATTTATATTTTCATGATAAATATTATATAAATAATGATTGATTAATTGACATATGTTGGATCTATATCTAATGTACAGTCAGCGTGTCACGCCAGTTTATAGTGTAGGTTAGACCATATTTGGATAGGAATGATACCGCTTGTCAAGTTTAGGGACCTGCGGTGATCACCTTGAAAGTTCAAGGACCGAGATGACACCGCCAGCCAAGTTTAGAGACCTACGGTGATCACCTTAAAAGTTTAGAGACCAGCATGACACCGTCTGCCAAGATCAGGGACCCACAGATATCACTTTAAAACTTCAGGGACCTGAATAACACCGTCGATAAGTTCCGGGACCGCGGTGAATTTTCCTTTCTAACTATTATGGAAAGCATTTCGCGTGACTTTGACTAGTCAATAGACCTCGCCCGCCATTAAAGACGCAAAGTCATTGCCCAAAAAAAATTGTTTAAGGACTGCAGCAACAGAAGAAAACAAAGTCATAATTGGCTTGTAATAAGGACTGCAGCAGGAAGGTGCTGAGCAAGCCGGTTGTGACGTCAAGTCGTCGTTAACCTGCTTCTCATCGCAGAGGACGGAGGCAATGAAACCATGCCAAAGGTGGTGGCATCCTCCTGTTTGTTTGGACTTGTTTGATTTATAAGTCATATTTTTTTAGTCAACGAATAATATTTTTCTCTCACGCCAAATCAGCCAACAGTACTTTCAGTCATGACTTATCAGCCAAACAAGCCCAAACGAACAGGGTAATGATGACGGGCGTTCTGTCCAAAGATGACCATGGACCCATGAGAAACGGCAGTGGTGACCAGAGAGAACAGGGGTGAGAGGTGAGGAAGGAGATAGGGGGAGACATGCGCAACATCCAGCTTCGGTGCCGCCGCTGTGGCGCTGTTAGATGGTGCCTTATCCATGTATGTACTGAAATAATTTTGTGTTCCTACCATCCCAAAACCATCAACTATCAGCAGGTCGGCCTTAATCCGCTTATGGATCGCCGAAGGCCGAAACCGCTTATGCATTGATCCTGAGAGCCTGACACTGAAAGCGGTCGCTGCCACTCTGATTTGTGGCAGCTGATCGGCAATGAAAGTGTGAAAACAGTGAAAGCGTGTCTTCCCCCTTCCATTTACCAGCATTTTTAAGAGTCGCTCGTCATTGATGTCCTTCCGCGGACTTGATCAGTACGACTGTTATCCTTGGCATGTTTGATGAACCTGAATATATATATATATATATATATATATATATATATATATATATATGACGAATTAATGCAACAAGAGAAGAATCAAATGGTACGGCAGTATTATTGCTGTCAGTTGGCCAGTTGGCTTCTTCTGCTGATCTGAAGATTTTTTTAGAACAAGCTGATGAAGATGCTGGTTTACACTTTACAGGCCGAATTTTTTACTTTTTGGCCCTTTTTTCGAAAGTTTCTCTCAAATAGATCCCTGGCGGAAAGAATTCCAGAAATGGACCCTTGGCTCGGCGCCAGAGTGAGTGGCGCCAGAGCTCGGCGCCACGGTGTCCGGGCGCCGAGCTCCTCGCCACGGGCAAGCGGCTCAAGGGGCTCGGCGCCAGAGCGGATGGCGCCGAGCTCGGCGCCAGAGATCTTGAGCGCCGAGCTCGGCGCCACTCACTATGGCGCCGAGCTACTGCATTTAACCCCGCCCAACCTTTCTTCCCCGCGTTCTTCTCTTCTTTCTCCTCGGGTTTTTCTCGCCACTTCATCCTACCTCACGAATCGACATATTGGACCTTGAAAACCTTGATTTGATCCGTAGATCTTCGAGAGCAAGGTATCCTCGCTCCCCTCCTTTTTTTTTCGATCGATTCGGTATATATTAGTCGGATTTTGAACCTAAGAATCGTCATCACTTAGGGTTTCATTGTATCCCTCAATATATGTATTATACAACTGTAGGTTCATTTCAAGGAGTGAAAAATGCTAGCAAACCAAGCGCATGTAGTTATGTTATGGGTTTTATTGTTGTGGATGAAATAAGAAACCCTAGGTTTAGGGTATAATGTTAACTGCTTTTGGTTCTTATAACGAAATTGATTGTATTGTAGTTATGGTTCTCACTGATATTTTGTTGTGATGTTTTTATTTATGTTTGCTAAATTACATCCTATTTGTTAGATGCAAGAAATGTTTCGGGAGGAGTTTTGGCGAAAACGGGGTCGTCCTCGCGAATTATACCCCGACGCGTCTAGCAAAGATGCCCCTGTTCCCCCTGACCTTCCTGTCCCTAACTGTGATTGTGGTTTCCTGGCCCATGTTTTTCAATCGAAACATCCGGACACAGCCGCGCGTTGCTTCTACACATGTAGTCGGTTTAATGTAAGAAATTATTTGTACTATCCTTTTTCTTTATTTGTTTAAGTATGATACTAATATATTATTGGAATCTCGTTGTGTAGGACCATGAGAGGTGCTTTTTCTTTCAGTGAATCGATGGTGCAGAAAAGTTTGATCCTAGGTACCTCTTTTTCGACGATTGGTTTAGAGGGAGACATCCACGTGATCACTTCAAGCGGTGGGTTCCACCCCCCTAACCCTCCGGCAATGACGGCTAAGGAGAAGCACCTAGCCGCCGTTAGACGACTCGAGGAACCTCCTCTGTGCGATTGCGGAGATCGAGCTGTGATAAACCCTGAGAATACGTTGGAGTTTGTGTGTCCAAACAAGCATGAAGTAAGTGCAAAGTGTATGTGTTAAAATCTTGAGCTATATGTGTTTATGTACTTATGTCTCATTATTTAGGTGTATTCAATGGCGAAGTGTCGTTTCAAGGAGTGGTTGTATGGTCCTAAGAACCAATGGCCGGAAGAACCGCGGAGGGTTAAGGAAAAGAAGAAAGAACGTGTAATCTACAAAGCACCTCCTGTCATGTGCGAATGTGGTGTAAAATCCAACTATGGCCTAGTCCCTTCGGAGCTTGGAATAGGTCATTATTGCGGCCATATGATTGAGTATGATGAGGTTTGTTATAATTCTGGTAAACATGAAATCGTATTTTGTTTGTTTTCCTAATACATATATGATATAATATTTGTTTTGAACAGAGCACTAGGAAATGCAGTTGGGAATGTTATGATGATCAAGCTAAGTTCTTGGATGAACTGAAGAAGAGGCAAGTAATTGCACGGAAGAGGGGATATGGACCTGACTACGTCAACCTATTCGTTAAACATCACAAAGAAAAGATGTGTGAGTTTGCTAGACAGCGCGGTATTTGTAACCCGATCGATGTTGGGCTTAACAAATGGGGATTGGAGAGGCGAACGACGTTAGAGGAGAGGGCAAGGAATGAGGCAAGGGAGGAGACAAGAGTACAGATGCAGGTCTTGGACGAGCATGTTGCTACATTATGTGCCAGTGAGTGCTTGAAAACCTTTTTCCGTTGCCTGGTTTTAAATGTAATATTATCGAGTTGCTAAATGATTGCATTTTATACATCAAGGGATTAGTTGCAGCGGGGAACATGCTGCAGAGGTGGCTCGTGCAAGATATGAGGAGAAGAAGTTAGATGCCCATAGATCACGAGCTGGTCGCACCGTTCAATCATCGATTGTGCTGTGTGATGATGGAGACGAGGATGAGGACGACACTGGCAGACTGAGTGAGCTCATTGCTTTAGCAGAGGCAGGCTTACAGGCAGAGGAGGATGACGACGCGTTCTTCACTCAGGCCGCAGCGGCCGCAGACGAAGCGGAGGCCGCTTACTACAAACGACAGGCAGGTGAGAGCAACGCAGCTTGAGCTTGAGCCTAGCAGAACAGGTTGTAGTAGAGGACCGGTACTCGGATGATGAGTTGCTTACTCAAGACGTTTGATTAAGGATTTGGAAGTGCATTTGCCCTTTGTCTCACCGTCGACACTTAGTTATACTACAAGCGACTCGGATGATGAGTGGCGCTTGGCTAGCTGGCGCGCCTGGTAAGGCGGCGCTGGTCGCGGGGTGCAGCGCTGCGCGCTGCGCTGGTGGCCGCGCGCGCCGCAAGACGGCGAGGCGGGCGCCGGCGTGGCGGCGTTCAGGCGCGCGCTGGCGGTAACAAGCGGGCGCTTCAGCGAGGCGGGCGCGGGCGGCGGGTGTGGCGCCGGGCGTGGCGCGGCAGCAGCGGGCGCTGGCGACGCTGCGGCGCCGCCGCGGCGTGGCGCGCGGCGGGGGGTTGGCTAGGGCAACTAGAGGAGGAAGAAGGTCGGCCAGTGGCGCCGAAGCTCGGCGCCAAGATCTCTGGCGCCGAGCTCGGCGCCATCCACTCAGCGCCGAGCCCCTTGCAGCCGCTTGCCCGTGGCGAGAGCTCGGCGCCCACACACCGTGGCGCCGAGAGCTCGGCGCCACTCACTCTCGGGCGCCGAGCCAAGGGTCCATTTCTGGAATTCTTTCCGCCAGGGGTCTATTTGAGAGAAACTTTCGAAAAAAGGGCCAAAAAGTAAAAAATTCGGGCGTGATTGCCACCCAATTGGCCGCTCGATCGGAGCAAGCAGGTTGTGGCGTCAAGTCGTCGTTAACCTGCTTCTCAGCTTGGCAAGTCGATTCCCCACTTGTACACGAGGAAAAAGGCAAAATAATTGGTGCATGCACCGAACAGATTAGCTGAGTCAGCTCGGGGCCCACCGCCACGTTGTCATTGTTGCCTGATCAGCGGAAAAAACTTGTTAACATAAAGGCCCCGTTCGCTGGTCTGAAACTTGACTGAAAACACTGTTCCGGCTGGTTTGTTGTGAGAAAAAAATACTGTTCGGCTGGTTTGGTGAATAGTGAACTGTGAGGAGGATCAGCCGGCTGGCTAGATGAATCCAGACCAGCGAACTGACCCAAAAAATGTTCGTCATATATAGAATGAAAATAGTATATATAATATGAAAAAAATGAAAAGGCAAGAAAAAGAGAAGGACATAAAAAAAGGTGAAAACTGCATGGACACTGGACCGTGACCACTGACGGATCCTTAGGTGGTGTTTGGTTGGTGGGATGGAATGGGGTGGGATGATCCCACTTTTGCTGCTGTTTGATTTAGGGGTGAACTGGAGATACCAACGAATATTCTCGCTAGATATCGTGACTCGTCCCTTATTTTTCGGTGGACAGAGTCCGTCCCACGTAGGACGGCCTTCGCGGGCGGGCAGACGCACGCAATACGAGCGTGAGATGGCAAGCAGTGGCGCAGGTCGGGCGGGCGAGCTCCGCCACCGGCTCCGGCATGCGACCGGGCGGAAGAGCGCAGTTGGGCGGAGAGCAGGCACGCTCGGGCAAGCAGCGCCCCTAACTCAGGCGGGCGCCGACGAGTGAGCAGCGCTCCCAGCTGAGCACCCCGCGCAGGCGAGCGAGTAGCGCCCCTAGCTCTGGCAGGCGAGCAACGCCCCCAGCCCCGGCAGGCGAGCAGCGCCCCCAACTCCGGCGGGCAAGCAGCGCCCCTAGCTCCGGCGGAGGCACGACCTGACGACTATGGAGATGTGGTTGACAACGAAGGGATAAGGGGAGGAAAAAGAAATTGAAAAAAATAAAAAACTAAAAAATGGGTCCCGTGTGTCAATGGTAGAAGAAGAAAAAGCATGAGAAGAGACTGGCACATGGGGCCCACCTGTCAGGGATATAATCCCACTTTTCATGTCTCCAAACCAAACATAAAATGGGTCCATTCTATCATTTTTCAACCAAACAGAAAATAGAGTCGTCCCATCCTAGAAAAAAAAAGAGAGGGAACCGTTCCACTCCACCTCGACTCCCAACCAACGATACCTTAACGAACGATCTTGAAACAGGAATTGGGGGACGGACCAACCATTCACATGGAAGCGTTTAGGTGAGGAAGGTTCGCCCAGAGCTGCTGATACAACGGGCATTTCACGTCAAAGGTGCAGGTCAATCGTCTCTAAATTCCACAAATGTTATACGCGTCGTATTGACGCATTCTACGGTCATCACCAATGGATCCGTTTCCATCCTCTCGATAACATGCAGAAATAAAATGCATCCCGCAGGCGCCCCACCCAGGCCCAGCACGCACAATGGCTCAAGCTCGATGCCCCTTGCCGTCATTGCTGCTGGTCCTTGTCGCTGTCGTGCTGCTCGTGCCGCGAGCCGCGGGTTACCCATGGCAGGTATGCGGCAACACGGGCAGCTTCACGGCCAACAGCACGTACCAGGCCAATCTCGCACTGCTCGCCATCGCCCTGCCCAAGAACATTTCATCGTCCCCAGACCTCTTCGCAACCACCATCGTCGGCGCCATCCCGGAGCTGGTCTCGGCGCTGGCGCTCTGCCGCGGGGACGCCAACGCCACGACCTGCTCCGCCTGCCTCGTCACGGCCTTCCAGGACGTGCAGAACGTGTGCTCCTTGGACAGAAGCGCCGCCATCTACTACGACCCCTGCATTCTCTACTACTCCAACGACGACAGCTTCCTCTCCTCCGCCGACAACGTCGCGTCGGCGTCGACGAACCGCATCAACCTCCGGAACGTCACGTCGGACCCGGCCCGGTTCAACCGCCTCGTGGGCGCGCTCGTGAACGCCACCGCCGAGTACGCCGCGTACAACTCCACGCGGCGGTACGCCTCCGGGGAGGCCGACTTCGACCAGGAGTACCCCAAGGTGTACAGCTGGGCGCAGTGCACGCCGGACCTGACGCCGGCGCAGTGCAGGGTATGTCTCGCCGGCATCATCGCCGAGATGCCGAGGCTGTTCACGGACCGCGTTGGCGGCAGGGTTCTCGGGATCAGGTGCAGTTACCGGTACGAGGTGTTCTCCTTCCTCAACAGCCCGGTGATGGTGCAGTTGGCGGCGGAGTCAGGGAACTCGGGATCCCCAACACCGGCGATGGGGCCCACGAGTGTGACGCCTTCGGCAGCTGGAGGAGGTGAGTATTGACCGCTTGCCTGCTACCTCGTGTGGGACTCCAGGGGGTAAAGAACGAGGATTACCAATTTACCATAGACAAAGCTTAACTCTTGGGTGTCTTGTCTTTGCTACCTATATCTAGACATAAGTGTATAGCTAAGTGTTACTATATATTTAGAAAAGTCAAAACATCTTACATTTTGGGATAAAGGGAGTACAAAATTTCAGTGACTATCAGGCTTAGCTAAAATAAATCATGACACTACATCTCACAAATGATCAACGGCATAAAACCCACAAGAACAATCAACAAAAATAGATGCTAACTGCTCAAAGTTTAGAGAAGATATGGAGCGATGTTTGATCGCTGCCCTGACCTTGGGCTGGGTGCCTCTGACTAGGCAGCTTGATCCAACCCTAGACACTCAAAATCAAGTGTCTAGAGACACCTCCTTGCCATGCGAGTTCCGTAAAGCAGCAAGCAAACACGCTCAGAGCATCTGCAAGAGTTTTGTAAAACAACTCCCTATTTTGACATTTTTTGCAAAAAGAGAAAAAAATGTCCTCCAACAGTTTGGTAAAATAGCTCCTTAAAAATGAGAACTTGCCAAATATCCTCTTCAACTCGTAAGTTTTCGCAGTCGAAAGGAACCCCATATCCACTCCTCATGCGGCGTTTTTATCAGGAGATCAGAGTAAATTGGACATGCGTGTAAATTAAGAAAATAAAGAATTCTAGATAAGAAAGCAGTGAGACAAAGAAACTATTAAAAAAGGTTTGGTTAGTTAAAAATAGTTCAAGGCTTCCAATGCAAAATTGTTTAGGAACCTATTATAAGAGATTGTTGGAGAAAGACAAAATTTAATATTTTTATTTCTTGCTAGATCTATTAGTTTAGCGAGTAAATTATATCAAACTGCTGGAGATTCTCTTAATAAAGGAAGTGATTTTATATATCTATTAGTTACTTATGATTTTTTATTTAGTGTATGCTTTTGTTAAGATATTTTACTTTTGAATTCATATGGGAATAAAGTTTAAAACTTATTTCTTTCTGAATTTCAATTTTTAAGATTTGTTTTGATATGGACTTCGTTTTTTTAATCTTAGTCCATATTTTAGCTATTCTATATTATATTTTGTAATGGTTATTTATTTAGATATTTTTATCATATTGAAGTCAAACTGTTTTTTTTTAGAAAAAATATTCCGAATTTTAGAAATCCACAAATTTGAACTATTTTATTTAATCTAATGTTTTATATTTTTTTAGTGAACATTGCAGTATGTTGTCCTTGAGAGTAAATGAGGATATCTCATCAATAAGAAATAACTCGCATATGATCATTGTCCTAGCTGAAATGATTTATTTCCTTTTGGCCCTTGATTCTAAATCCAACATTCAGATGATTCCACGAAATTATACGAAGATCTACTAATAATAACCTACTCACTCCCACCATACCTAGCCTAAGACCTCAACGCTGCCACCCTCGTACCCTTTGACTACTACTACTCCGTTCTAAATTATAACTTATATTATAGAAATTTTATAGAAAATGTGTATTAACATCTACAAGTTTAAATAAATAAACTTTCAATATATTTTCATAATGAATTTAATTAAATAAATTTGCCATTGTAGATGTTTGTGTATTTTTCTATTAAATTGGTCAAATAAAAGTTTGACTCATTAGGACTAAACTAAACTAAACTATAACTTGAAATGGAGGGTGTACGTTTTTGTATGTTATCTTGCGCCCCTGTCATCCCTAGGATAGTGACATTGGTACAATGCCTGTGGGTCTTTCGGCTAGAAAATTGTATGATTTATCAGAAGAAAATTATACAAAACATATTTAGGCGTTCAATATGATGATTAGTTGAGGAGGGAGGGAGTGAAATGAGCATAGCTCCGCTGATAGTTAGCTAGTCTCATTATGGTAGAATCTGTGCACTCTAGTTTAGGTCTTCGACTTAGTAAAGATACTCAAATTATGGCTAGTTGTTTTTAGTGATACTCCTAAGTGATATGTTTACATAGGTGAGGCACATGTTGGACCATGTGGGATGTATTGGAATTAAAAATATGAGAGAGAGAGAGAGAGAGAGAGAGAGAGAGAGAGAGGACGACACGTTTGTTCCATTTGCTTGGCCTGTCCCAACGTGCACTCTCATCGCCACTTGACCGAAGGCACACGAAAATGAAGGAGAGGACGACGACATATTTGGAGCTGTTGTTTTGTCTTGTGGAACAATTAAATAAACAGTTGTGGTTATTAAAGAAAAACATTTTTGATAGTCAATGTTTTCCATAAATTCTTTTCAAAGGAGTGTAGCTACACAACATCTCACTCAAATGCTATACTGATTCACAGATTTAAATAGTCATAGCAACCAATGGCAATCGGGGCTATATATACTAAGTTATTAGTATAATTGACGCCAAAAATAATTCATGTTTTGTATTGATCTAATTCATTGCTCATCATAGATTCATAGTATACACATCCTGCCTTGCATAGTGTATTAGATTCTAAAAAAAAATAACATCAGTTTAGGTTCGTAACACTGATACTTAGAGCAACTCCAAGAGACTCTTTATATCCTTCCAAATTTATAGGCATAGAGTTCTTTTTACAAAAATGCCCTTTAACACTGGCAGGGAGGAAGTATAGCGTCCCCGGCACCGTACTTGTAATACTGCTGCCGACCATAGCAGCTTTGCTGGTCATTAACCTGCTCATCTGGCTTTGTTTGTGGAGGAGGAGGAGACCACAAACAGGAGGAACCCAATCAAGTATGTAGTGCCGAATTATTCCCTCTCGTCTGCCATATATAGGTCGCAGCTTCAAGTAATTAACATGATGAAAGTAAAGGCAATCGGCTTGCTCACGCTTGGATATTTGAACAGATCCCACTCATTCCACTGAAACAGAAGGCATGGAGAGCATAGAATCGATGATCATTGACATCTCCACCCTGCGAGCTGCGACCGGGGATTTCGACGACAATAACAAGCTCGGCGAAGGCGGGTTTGGTGCAGTGTACAAAGTATAAACTTGCCAATATATATCAGAGCTTGATTGAGCTAAGCCATATATATATTCCATTGAAGTTGTCATTGCCAACAACTAAGCTCGCATTATTATTGGTTTGACTGGCGTAGGGTACTCTCCCGGACGGTAATGAAATAGCAGTGAAGAGGCTATCAAGGCGATCAGCACAAGGGATCGGAGAGCTGAAGAATTAGCTCGCCCTGGTTGCCAAGCTTCAGCACAAGAATCTCGTCAGTCTAGTCGGCGTCTGCCTGGAACAGCAGGAGAGGTTGCTCGTCTACGAGTTTGTTCCCAACCGCAGCCTTGATCAGATACTCTTCGGTACTGCCTGCTTAGAGTAATTCAATCGAATTCGATCATCGTCATCCTCCATATCTTCGATCTTCCTCTGTAAAATCTGACATTAAAACTTGATGATTCGCTCCTGCTTTTAATTTCCTTACTTTGGGCAGACACTGAGAAGCGTGAACAGCTGGACTGGGCAATGAGGTGCAACATCATACACGGGGATAGCTCGGGGCCTGCAGTATCTGCACGAAGACTCTCAGCTCAAAGTAGTCCACCGTGATCTGAAAGCGAGCAACATCTTGCTGGACATGAACATGAACCCCAAGATTTCGGACTTCGGCCTTGCGAGGCTTTTCAGACGAGACCAGACGCAGGGTGTCACCAATCATGTCGTTGGTACCTAGTGAGTGCCGTCTCCGCCACCTAGAAGCTCCTCGAATTAATAGGCAGGTGACCAGATCCAGGGACGACGATCTTGACTAGATTTTGGATGTCTATTCCCATCCATTACAGCGGTTACATGGCGCCGGAGTACGTGATGCGCGGGAACTACTCCGTCAAGTCAGACGTGTTCAGCTTCGGCGTCATGGTCCTTGAGATCGTGACGGGAAAGAAGCACAACGTCTGCCGGGATGACGCCTGGCGATCGCCTGAAGACGATCTCTTGAGCCTCGTGAGTGCTTCCTTCCTGCTCAAGTGTTCGTAACATAACCCTTTCGTGTTCTTTCTTGCTGAGATGTCTTTACCCTTGACTAAACCATGCATCCTCGATCGATGCACACATGCATGCATGGTGCAGGTATGGGACCACTGGACGGCCGGGGTGGTGTCGGAGGCCATCGTAGACCCGTGCCTGGGAAGCTGCTTCTCCCGGAGCGACGTGCTAAGGTGCATCCACATTGGTCTGCTATGCGTCCAGGAAGACCCGGCAGACCGGCCGGTGATGTCGTCCGTCGTCATGATGCTCGGTAGCGACACGGTCTCCCTTTGGAACCCGTCCAACCCGGCGTTCTACGCCAGGAACAGGGCGCCGGCCACCTCCAGCTAGCATCACATCGTCGGGCGAGTACACCGCGTGAGAGCAATAATGCAATCATACATGTAGAAGCGCTCGACGGCTACAGCTAGCTGTTATATGTCACGTTTATATATATTTAAATCAAAGACAAGGAAGGTCAAACTATGCAGCCGGCATCTCGGTTTCGTTCAGGACAGAACTTTTTGAGCTATAGTATAGGAAGAGAAGAGCTAAACTTTGTATGCGTCCCAATCTACTATACCACTTAAAATATTCCATTGGCTATCGTCTGTCACTCCGCCCCAGCCTATATACGGTAAAAATATATATACGGCAAAAAAAACCACAGTCCCGTTTCCAAAAAAAATCCTATACGACAAAAAAAAACTCTCTGAAAAAAAACATATACCACAAAAAAAACATGTTTCCGTAACAAACTCTTCCACGTCGAAAATCATATATGGCAAAAAAAACGTCTTCAAAACTCTTCCACAACGAAAATCATATAAAGAACTAATTACATGCTGATGAAACAGATCAGGCACATATTCAAACAGAGAAATTCAGCAAGGGCTTTACCACAATAAAAAAGATCACGCACGGTCCAGTACGTGAATCCTGCACGCTCCCGCCTCGCCCCACCCGTCGAGGCCCACCTCCCAGCAAAAAAAAAACACGCCCGCGCGTGCGCCCTAGCTACAGCCTACGTTGGCGGCGGCGGACACCTGCGACCTGCTGCCTACTACCGTGCGTAGTCCCGGCATACGCGGGAGCACGCGTCACGCCATGTACTCGGGCGACGTGATGCTACAGTACATGCTAGCGGTGGCCGCGGGCTTGCCGCGCTCTGCGACGTGCTCATCGTGTGCTCCGCTTCGCCCCGTGCGCGCCCTAGCTCCAGCCTATGCCGCCGGCGGTGGGCACCTGCCAACGCTCGCCCGCCCGTGCGCGTGTGCCCGCGCCTCTGCGCCCCGCTTGCCTCGTGCGCGTGCGGCCGCGCGTCTACAACCCGCTCGCCCTCGTGCGAGAGCAGGAACGAAGGAACGACATGCCATGGCCCGTGGCCCGAACGGATAGACCTTCTGCCCACACGTAACAGACGACTCCGTTGCGTGGTGATTCACCAGATGCCCGCACGTAACAACTTAGCCCGTTAGTCTACCACATCCACATAGAAGAAGGAAAACCAGATGAATTTAGAAACCGTTTAGGGTTCCAATGCAAAAAGTGTTTATTAGATTTTATTAAATTTTGAAAATGTATAATAATAAAACACAGAAATGATAATTAAAAATGAAATGAATTTTGTTAGGTTTCTATAAACCAGATCTACACGATATATGTCATAAAGATCATGAAATATGTTTTATGTAATCAAATTTGTATATTTCTTTATATGTTCATCTAAACCACAAGCCATATGCATCGTCATAGACATGGATGAAAAATTGTTAGTATGTTTGTCTAAACCATAAGACACGTGTATAATTGTACAAATGGATACAAATTTGTTGCCTCGTGCAACGCACGGGCATATATCTAGTGAGAAACATAGTTCCCTTATCTCTCTTACCAAAAGAGAATATATGAATAAAGAATAACTTACATATAGGAATACATGATGAAACAACGTTTCTTTTGAGACAAAATAAAGAAGAATTATTAGGTTCCATCCAACCCTATCTCTTCTTCGAGTGATTGACAAAGATCGGGTTTGAGGGTTTTTGCTAGATTTGTCAGGGCAGTACAAAATTTCCTAATCACTCTACAGAGCTTCGGTGCTTTAATGGGAGATGCCTAGCCATCTAGGAGCCAAGCTCTAAGGGTAACAAATTCAGTGTCTTAATTAACAAAGTAACAAGTGCTCAATGATCGAGATCTTGCTCACAACATTTTTCATTCACCATAGAGCATAATTTCTCAAATAATCACTCAAGAAAACAATGGGAATAGTTGGGAGAGAAGGATATATATATAGTGAGCACAACCTTTTCCAATTTTCCAATGAGTAAGCATTTCCATACTTTTTTGAAAGCCCGCGGGGCCTCTAGTAAGAGAAACTTTATAATTGAGAATTTAGTAAGAAACTATAGTGATTAGTGAGCACATTACAAATCATGGTGAATTCCATACAATGGGATCAGGTGCAGTTACCGGTACGAGGTGTACTCCTTCCTCAACAGCCCGGTGATGGTGCAGTTGGCGGCGGAGTCAGGGAACTCGGGATCCCCAACACCGGCGATGGGGCCCACGAGTGTGACGCCTTCGGCAGCTGGAGGAGGTGAGTATTGACCGCTTGCCTGCTACCTCGTGTGGGACTCCAGGGGGTAAAGAACGAGGATTACCAATTTACCATAGACAAAGCTTAACTCTTAGGTGTCTTGTCTTTGCTACCTATATCTAGACATAAGTATATAGCTAAGTGTAACTATATATTTAGAAAAGCCAAAACATCTTACATTTTAGGATGAAGGGAGTACAAAATTTCAGTGACTATCAGACTTAGCTAAAATAAATCATGACACTACATCTCACAAATGATCAACGGCATAAAACCCACAAGAACAATCAAAAGAAATAGATGCTAACTGCTCAAAGTTTAGAGAAGATATGGAGCGATGTTTGATTGCTGCCCTGACCTTGGGCTGGGTGCCTCTGACTAGGCAGCTTGATCCAACCCTAGACGCTCAAAATCAAGTGTCTAGAGACACCTCCTTGCCATCCGAGTTCCCTAAAGCAGCAAGCAAACACGCTTAGAGCATCCGTAAGAGTTTTGTTAAACAACTCCCTATTTTGACATTTTTTGTAAAAAGAGAAAAAAATGCCCTCCAACAGTTTGGTAAAATAGCTCCTTAAAAATAAGAACTTGCCAAATATCCTCTTCAACTCGTAAGTTTTCGCAGTCGAAAGGAACCCCATATCCACTCCCCATGCGGCATTTTTATCCGGAGATCAGAGTAAATTGGACATACGTGTAAATTAAGAAAATAAAGAATTCTAGATAAGAAAGTAGTGAGACAAATAAACTTTTAAAAAAGGTTTGGTTAGTTAAAAATAGTTCAGGGCTTCCAATGCAAAATCGTTTAGGAACCTATTATAAGAGATTGTTGGAGAAAGACAAAATTTAATATTATTATTTCTTGCTAGATCTATTAGTTTAGCGAGTAAATTATATCAAACTGCTGGACATTCTCTTAATAAAGGAAGTGATTTTTATATATTTATTAATTACTTATGATTTTTTATTTAGTGTATGCTTTTGTTAAGATATTTTACTTTTGAATTCATATGGGAATAAAGTTTAAAACTTATTTCTTTCTGAATTTCAATTTTTAAGATTTGTTTTGATATGGGCTTCCTTTTTTTAATCTTAGTCCATATTTTAGCTATTCTATATTATATTTTCTTCTAGCCTTCTTTGGAGGTCAATGTCGACCTGCGGTAAGATTCTCAAACTATGTATCTGAGTTCCTCAGATAGTGCTTGGCTTTTCTCGAGCTAGATGAGCCGTGAAGGCTCCGATGCGGAGGCCCTTGATTGCGGCCTCAATTGCCACATCCTCTGGGACATTTGGTGCCTTCGCTTTAAGCTGCACAAACCTCTGAAAATAATCTCTTAGCGCTTCACCTTGATTACATGCTCGCAGACCAAAATAAGTCCATTGATGTGAGAGATTCGATGGTGACCCCTTTGAAGTTAGCGATGATCTTATCTCGGAGGTCTTCCCATAAATATACTAAGCTTGGCCTCAACATTGAGTACCATGCCAATGCATCTCCTTCGGCTGCGATAACAAATGACTTGTCCAAGACAATGTCATTCCCTCCTGCGGAGGCTACGTCTGCTTCGAAACTCATGATGAACTAGCGGGGGTCTGATCTTCTATTGAATTTGGATAGGGTAATGGGCTTGTAAGATGGTGGCCAAGGTGAGGTTTGGATTCCCTCGGAGAGTGGGGATTTTGAATCTATAGCTCTATGGGATGGCGGCGAGTTGAACGATGTGCCGAAGGTTGGCTGGGCAGCCATACTTAGCGAAGGGTTAGGCTAGCTTTGATCTACTGACCGGAGCTGGTTGGAAATGTTAGACTGGGGCTGGCTTGGCTGCATACTCTGAATTTCTGTCTGCAGGACGGCCAAATGTTGCCTAATATCTGCTGTCTGTAATGATGTCTGTGCTGCCCTCTGAATTGCGGCGAAGGTTGCTTGCCAAATATCTTTCTTGTTGTGTACTCTACAATTTGGGCTTGCAATTGTTGAAGTACTGCTCCGGGGTGGATCTGAGGCTTGTTGATCTTGACTATCGGAGGCTAAGCTTCGACGTGGGTTCTTTCACAACCTGGTCCTCTGAGGGCATTAGCGTAAGTCTTTGCGGGTATTACGCTG